TTTAAATTTAAAAAATCTTGAAAGAAAGAAAGAAAGAAAGAAAGAAAGAAAGAAAGAAAGAAAAGCAAGTTTCAGCCCTAGGTGGAACTCATTTCAAAGTTACTCCTAGGTGCACCCATCATGCCATTCTACACATTTCATCAACACAGGGCCCAACAAGAGACCACAGCTTGGTGTTGTACACATTAGTATTGGAAAAGGAATAGCATATTCAAAAATGCATGGTCCCCCGAAGAAGGGGACAGGGACAAGAACTCCTGAACAAATTGGTAGCATGGGAGGAGAGGGGAAGGAGGTAGGAAAAAGAGAAGGGGAGAAGAGGTAGAGGAAGACGTGAGGGATCAGGAAGACTGAGACAGGGGAGAAATAGAGGAGAGCAAGAAAAGAGATACCTTAAGAGACGGAACCAGTATAAGTCTAAAGAGAAATCTGGCACTGGGGAAATGTTCAGAGATCCACAAAGACGACCCCAACTAAGAATCTAGACAGTAGTGGAGAGGCCACCTTTGATGCCCTTCCCCTATGAGATTGATGACTACCTTAATTGCCATCCTAGAGCCTTCATCCAGTAGCTGATGGAAGCAGAAGCAGGCACCCACAGCTAAGCACTGAGTCTTACTCCTGGAAACCAGTTGTAGAGAGGAAGAAGAGATGAGCAAAGGAGTCAATACCCTGCTGAAGAAACCTCCAGAACCAACTGACCTGACCTAGTGAGAGCACACTGACCCCAGTCGTAAAGCTGGGAACCAGCATTGGACCAAACCAAACCCTCTGAATGTAGGAGCCAGCTAGGAGGCCTGGGCAATCTATGGGACCTCTAACAGTTAAACCAGTATTTATCCCTACTGCACAAATGGACTTTGGGAGCCTATTCCCTATGGACTGATACTTTTTCACACCAGTTACACAGAGGAGGACCTAGTCCCTTCCCCAAATGATGTCACAGACTTTTCTGATCCCCCATGGAAGGCCTCACGGTCTTTGGGGAGTGGGTGAGGAGTACATTGCAGGGAGTAGGTAGGAGGCATGGGAGGATGGGAGGGAGAGGGAAAAGGGGAATTAGTGTGTAAGTGATTGTAAATTATTAAATAAAAAAGTAGCTAAACATTCTACCAATAATAGCTTATAAGTGAAAATTTCATCGTAAGTGGCAGTTAATCGTTGTTGGGAATAGAGGTGTTATTTTACTTAGTGGTATAGTCACTGGCAAATTGTTCATATTCCATTAAATAACCTACAGATGCTCATTCAAACAACCCTAATTAAACTCAGTGAAACACAGACACACACACACATGTATGCACAAACATACACACAGATATGTGTATACATACATACAGAAACACACACATATACATACATATGTACATGCATACACCCACACACACACACACACACAGTAGGAGGGGGAATTTGTTGAAAAGGTTTTAAGTATGAGAAAGAAGGAGATGGAAAAGGTAATAAAAATGACAAAAGTTTATTATATACCTGTGTAAAATTGTCAAATAAAGAAGATTGGTTCATTAGATAAGAAATAGTCTTTTCAACAAATGATGCTGTCATAAAATACATAGAAATATGTAACATAAGGGAAAATGTCAATAAACCATGTGATAAATGAAAGAAAAAAAAGAAGTTTAACCTTCCAATGGAGGGGGGGGGGGAATGTCAAAGAGGGAACTTCTACCCATGTGAATGTATTTGTCTCTTCTGACAAAAATAGAGAAGAAAATATTACTGTGTCCTGACATTTATAACCAAGATGATGACAGCGCACAGGGACTTTTCGAAGCACTGCTGGGGACTTCTCTTCTTCTTCTTTTTTTTTTTTTTCTCGAGACAGGGTTTCTCTGTGGCTTTGGAGACTGTCCTGGAACTAGCTCTTGTAGACCAGCCTGGACTTGAATTCACAGAGATCCACCTGTCTCTGCCTCCCCATTGCTGGAATTAAAGACGTGGGCCACCACCGCCTGGCACCACTGGGGACTTCCATGGGCTTTAACTATAAGCAGTAAATCTAGAAAGCAATATCACCCTACAACATTTGTCTTTCTGCATGAGCTCTAAAAAGTATTAATTGGGAAGTGTGGGTTTATCTGCCCATCGAGTCTTTTGGAAAACACCTTCCCATTTCCTTTGTGTTCCCAGCATATTCTCCCAACTTTGTACTGAGATTAATTTCCCATAGCATCATGCTTCTTCTTCATCTTAGGCGCATGAGTGGCTTAACTACATCCCTCCATCCCTTTGTAAGTCCTAATGTGGAAACTTCCAGAACAGGAGAAGTTTAAGCCCACCTGGGAGAGGCTGATCAGAAAGAAGGGATTATGGACTTTAGCAGGAAGCAAGTTCATTCCTCAGAACAAAGGGAACTCATTATTTGAGAGCATGTAAGATAATAACTGAGAAAATATGTTTTTGTTCTTTTTTGTTTGCTTGATTTTTGCTTGGGGGTGTTTGTTTGTTTGTTTCAAGACAGGGTCTCATTATGTAGCTCTGGCTGTCCTGGAACTCACCATGTAGACCACGCTGGCCTCCAAATCAGAGATCTGCCTGCCTCTGCTTCCCAAAAGTGCTGGAATTAAAGATCAAACCAACTACCCAGGAATATCTGACTACCTGTCTTAGAGACCAGTTTTGGTTTCGATTTTTGGTTTTGGTTTTGTTTGGGGGGGTGGGTTGTATCTGTCTATTTCCATTTCTTTAAGATTCCTTAAGCAGCAAGAGGGTCTTAATTCTGAAAGCCCTTGAATAAACTTGGGGCAAAAAAGTACCCAAAATTACCTGTGTGGTGGAGGTTCACCTAACATTTATAACTTCCAAAAGAAGGAAATCAGGGAGTCCTCCATCACTAAGTATGTAATAACTTTACTAGATAGGAGACAAGCAAAGATGTCACAATGTAGCAAGCCTCCTCTCTCCATAGTTAACTCCTTAGTTTGGTTCAGTGGGCTAGGTCAGTGGATTTGATTAAGGGACAATTGTGCCAAGCTTAGAGGTGTACATCTGCAATCCCAGCAACTGGGAGTCAGAGATAGGAGAATCAAGGGTTGAGGCTAGCCTGGGTTACATAGTGAGACATCATCCCAAAAACAAAAACAAAACAAACAAACAAACAAAAAGTCACCTGAGTTTTCAGGAAAGAACTAGTTGGAGCCATTTTTTAAGGTTATTCTGCCATAAAAATATCTAAGACAGGGTGGAGGATATATCTTAGTTGTTGAGTGCTTGCTTACGTGGTCAAGGCCCCAGGTTTCATTCCTACCACCCCAGAGGAGAGGAGAAAAAGGAGGAGGAAAAACAATGTGGTGTGTGTGTGTGAATACATACATATATACATATGTGTGTGAGATCTATGAGCTATATTAGTTATTAGGAGAGAAAAGGATAAAAGAATAATGCTGAAATAATATATGCCATACATATGGCAGAGTATAAAGTATCTAAGAAATAAGAAAGGAAACCACAAAAATGAGACATGTATCTTTGTAAAATGGCCAGCCAGCATCTGTGTGTATCCAATGGAGGCCAGCGGTGCTAAGGCATAAATTCCCATTGTCTAATACAGGAGACGAAGTGTCCAGAGTCCTGTGCTCACTCCTTGATTCATAGGATGAGCATGAGACCTAGGCTCAGTCAACTAGGTGTTCTTACGTAAACCCCGAGACTCAAGAAACAGTGGGAAAATAGAAGAGTGACTGAGCAATGGGGTGCAGCTGGACAGAAAACTCCAAGACAGGTGCTAACAGGTCCTTTAAGCTCTCTGCACTACCATTCTGTTTGAGGTATGTCCTAACCCCCCAGTGAGCAGCCTTCCTTACCTAACCTCTGCCTCTCTAGTTTTCTCTCTGAGCTTGTAAACTCCTCCATATCCTTCCAGGAAAAAAAATATATATCTGATTTATCTGGAGTTGTTTTCTTGTTTGTTTGTTTGTTTGCTTAGCATAACTGAGCCTACCATATAGAGGAAATGAACTGACAGTTCACAAATGAAGGAACATACGTGAACATTTGTCAATAAACAGAGAATCAGACCTAACTAGTCATCAAAGAGTATGTAAGGAGGGCACCACATTCCCTTCACAACAGTAGCAAGTGGAAAAGGATCCTTAGAAGCCAGGGCTGGCAAGGTCCAGAGAAACCAGGAATACCAAGGCACCCTGGGAAGGAGCTGTGCTGACCCAGCACCTTCAGAAGGCAGGCTGCGATGCCTTGCCTGCACTTTAGATGCGCACATTCTTGGTCCACACTTCCTCAGCTAACATATTATCTTTAGAAGATAAGTAGCTAAGAGACAACAACATTTGTTATTTAGAAAGGAGGGAAAGAAATATAAACACTCATCAATCCAGAAAACTTATAGTTACAATAAATCCTTTTAAAAGAGCAACTTAAAAGTCCAAGTAGCACTGAGAAATAGCTCCTGAATATCATGGAAGAGAAGAAAGGTTTGCAGCTGGTTAGACATTGTGTGAGTGTCTGAAGACTCTACTGGGCAGGATGTCAGCCCCTCTCCACCCCAGTCAGATGTTATGTCTTGTTTGTATGACTCTGATGGTTACTTCCATGTTGTGTCATGACTGAGTTTAGGATCATCACAGAAACGTGCCTCTATATATGTCTACGAGGATGTTTCCACAGAGATTTAACTGAGTAGGGAAGAAACATCTTGAATGTGGGAGGTAACATTTCATGGGCTCAGGTCCTGAACTGAACAAAAAGGAAAAAGCAAGCTAAGCACCACCACTCTCTGATTTCTGACTCTAGACACAATGTGACTAGCTACCTCAGGCTCCACCACCAAGCTTTCCATGTCATGATGGATGGTATCCTCAAGATATGTCAAAATAAACTGCCTCTTCCTTGTTTTTGTCAGATGTAAAGGTAACTAACACAGTTATATTACACATAAAAACAGATTTTATGGATGTGATTAACATTAATCACCAGTTGACTTTTGAATTAATAAAAGAAGGAAGTTTAGGTCAGGTATGGTGGGGAATGCCTTTAATCCCATCACTCCAAAGGCAGAGATAGTTGGATTTCTCTGAGGATAAGGCCATCTTGATTTTTATAAAGCTTTCCAGATCAACCAACTCTACACAACGAGACCCTGTCTCAATGAAAACAAACAAATGAAAACCCAAAACACACAAAAATAAGGACTGGGGAGGTGGGTCAGGAGTTAAGAGCACTTGCTGCTCTTGAAGAGGACCTGGGTTCAGTTCTCAGTACCGAGGTGGTGGCTCACCATTGTCTGTAACACTCGCCAAAGGGGATCTAACATCTTCTGGCCTCTGTGGGCATCAGGCACACACGTGGTGAACATACCTGCGTGCAAGACAAAACAATCACGAACAAAACATAAAATACTTTTAAAAAGTGGAATGTAGGGGCTGGGTTGCATACTTGTCCAGTTAAATCTGAGCTAACCATAAAAGTTAATAACCATAGGAAAAGTCAGCAAATTACATTAGAAAAAGACCATGTTCTTATAGACTTGATGAGTTGATGGAAGGGGAGTACATAGAAAGGAGTTGCCTGTGACCTTGATGACATTACTGTGATCCCCTGGTTAACAATCCATCTGGAAGAGCATCAGGAAGAGCTTCAGGGTGGATTGTCCCTGGGTCTTCCAGGAAAGAACACAGCTTGCCTGACAATTGATTTGGCAACATCTGGGAAATGAAATAACGTGAGGAGTAATGTGGATGTTATTTTTAAACTACTGTGTATTGCTTTTTTCCCACAAATATAATTAGGACATTTTTAATATTTGGAAAAATTGGAAGCTGTAATAAACCTGGAAGGCATCTGTGTGTCTGTGGACTTGCTTTTGTGGAGTAGGTAATAATTTAAGCCATAAGGATGTGGAGGCAACATAGACTTAAAACAAGTCTTTGCAATATCCTAGCCTTTCTTTTTACTTTGTTTTGCCATTTTTATAAACAGTTTTTGTTTTTGTTTTTTTGGGGGTGGGAGTTCAAGATAAGGTTTCTCTGTGGTTTTGGAGGCTGTCCTGGAATGAGCTCTTGTAGACCAGGATGGCCTCAAACTCACAGAGATTCACCTGCCTCTGCCCCTTGAGCACTATAAACAGGTTTTATATACAATTTACATACAGTTTTATATGCAGTTTTCTGTGTTATTAGTAGTCTATCTATATGAATAATTATACCCTTCTTATTCAAATATCCCTCCAAAGCCAAGGGGCTTAATGTCAGTGGGGACTCCAATGACTAATGAGATGTCCTTGGTACATATTTTATGAGTCACAAAGGTCAGAGGTGTATGAAAAGTAATTGATAAGAATAGCCTGTTTAAGTAGTGGCATTTTGAATCTTTGATTGCTAATAATGCTTGGCTCTCATGTCACCAGCTGTTTTTATGTGCATTATGTGTCATAATCCTGACAACAACTCTGAAAGCAAGGGTTACTATTCCAAACATTAATAGTGAAATAAGGTTTGGTTCATAAGTGGTAGAAACCAGGCCTTAAATCACAACATATCTGTGGTGGTATCAATAATAAATGCCCCCCCATAGTCTTGGGCATTCTGAACATTTGGTCTCCAGGTAATGGTGCTGTTTGGTGGGGGGTCACTGGGACCAGGCCTTGGGAGTTTAAAGGTCACACTGTCTGTTTCAAGATATGAGGCTTTAGTCTCCTGTTTTCACTGCCATGTCTTTGCTCTGCCATCAGGAACTCTTGCCTTCAAGCCCAAACAAATTATCTCTTCCATTAATTGCCTTGGTCATGGTATTTTAACACAAAAACACAAAGGTGACTACTAAAATATCCAAATCCAGATGCACACTACCCTAAAGAGCTACCTCCAAAGACAATTTTTAAAGCCTAATCTGGAAATAAAAGATAAGTTTACTGTATTTTAAGTGGGTTTATTTGAAATAATATGAGAGTAACATGACCTCTGCTAGAGACCCAAATATTTCCCCCTTTTTTATTGCAGCTTTAATTTGCATACCTAATTCTTTTTCATAGATTATATAGAAGAATGGCACTTGGGAAAGCAGCTGGTACATGGCAGAAATTGAATAAAAGTTATTTTAAATAGAAAAGAAACTTCAGCCCAGCACTTGTTCAATCTATCACAAATTCTATTTCTGAAACAAAGAAATCCTTTCTGACAGTGCTTAAGAAGAAAGAACAACTGTGAACTATGTAGTCTAACCATGCTCATGTCTGATTGGCTGCCTCTGACTACAATCCCATTGTGTATCACATGAGGCACAGTATAGATATATGCGTGACATTCATTATGAAGATCTACCACAGATTCTTTTCATTAAATATCAGTAGGTTATCAAATATATTCTAAAGTCAGACATGGTGGTGCAGTACTGTAATCTCACTGCTTGGGAGGCTGAGGGAGGAGTACAGTATGTCCCAGAACAGCCAGAGCTACACTGAATTTCAGAGCATCTGAGGTTGTGAAAGACAACCTGCCCCTTGCCCCCAAAAGCCACTATTGTCCGCATATGATAGTTTCTATTATTGTCACATATTTTTGAACATGCAGGGTTAGAAGAAGATGTGGTAAACGTGGAAATGCATTTGTCCTGTGGATAGCTGTAGGTGACAACCTCTCTGTGTCTCTGTCTCACTGCACTGTCTGTCTGTCTCTCTCTGTGTGTGTGTGTGTGTGTGTGTGTGTGTGTGTGTGTGTGTGTGTGTGTGTGTGTGTGTGCTTGATAACTTCAAAGGTTGCAGGCACTTATTTTATGGCATGACCATATTTATCCAACCCATTAAGTTCAGCTTTCAAAACATTTGGAGAAAAGACCAAGACAAGACCAGGAAAGAATAAGAACAATGTACTGAGAGGCTATGATGCATCTTAATTTTAACTGTCCATAAAATTATTAAATGATAGCAGCCATGACAAGCAGCTCTCACTAAGCCCTTGTACTGTGCTGGCCACCGTCACCAGTGTTCTCCGTCCTTCAACAGCAGGAGCTGCTCTAGAAGCAGAAGCAGAGGAAGTCAAGAGACTTATTTCAGACAATGGATCAGTAGGGCAGCCTGTAGGGAATTTTCTTAATTAGTGATTGATGGGGGAAGGCCCCTCCCGTCGTGGGTGGAGCCATCCCTTGACTGGATGGTCCTGGGTGCTATAAGAAAAGCAGACTGAGCAAGCCAGTAAGGAACACTCCTCTATGGCCTCTGCATCAGGTCCTACCTCCAGGTTCCTGCCCTGTTTGAGTTCCTGTCCTAACTTCCTTCAGTGATGAACACTATGATATCTTTGGCAAAGTGTCCTCTTTGCTTTTAGTGTCCTCACCCACCTGGTAAGTTTGATAATACAAGCTACAGTTCTTTCACCATTTCTGTCTCTGAGTTTAAAAAACAAAATGGTACTGTTTCATGTCACATTCACTGGTATGTGCAAAGTGATTCCCTGAAATATGGAATGGAAAAAATTGTGGAATTCAGATCTTGTAGTAGAAGGATCTAGCCATAATAATTTCACCCCTGGACTTCAGAGATCCAGCAAAGTGTATACATGACTTCAGGAAGTATCTGCCTTTTAGAACCAACATCTGCCACCCCAAAGATGGTTGCTTATTCTAGAAGCACATGTGTTCAACCTTCCCCAGAAATCTCATTTGGAAAGGAAATGGGACTATAAAACAGCATTCTGAGCTAGAGGGATGGCTCAGTGATTAAGAACACTGGCTGCTCTTCCAAAGGGTTAGGGTTTGGTTCCCAGTACTCACATGGCAACTAACAGCCATCTGTAACTCCAGTTCCAGGGATCTCATGCCTTTCTGGCTTCTGAGGGCACCAGACACCCACATGGTACACAAGCATATATATAGGCAAGACACCTACGCACATAAAATAAAAATACATTTAAATAAATATTTAAAACAGCACTCCCAAACAAGCTTTATACAGAAATAAACACTTGAATTGGATCTCTATATATTAAAAAATGTAATAAATCCAAAGAGTCAAAAAGAAATTTCCACTGTGAAAAAATAAATTATGAGTGATTTTATTCTTTACTTTTGAACATTTTCCTGAATTTTATAGATTTCTACAATTACCACTGGTTATTTTTTTTACCATTTTGACCATATAATAACCATGCTAATTTTAAAGTAAAAATTCTAAACTTAAGAAAATGTACTTGTCACTTTAGACACAATAAAACAATGGCCCTGTGCTGTGTTTTTCCATATTGTCTCCTAAAGGAAGTGTTCAAAGCTCCTTAAACTGCTCTGAAAATAAAGTAGTAGCTGAGTAGCACACTAGGACCACAGTGGCCATCCTCAAATGGCTGCAAGTCTAGATAGCCCAGCACATAAGAGTACTGTTGCACAAGCAAGAAGACCTGTTGAAATCCCCAGAACCTAGGTAAGGGGCCAGGTCAGGCTGCACACATACCTAAAATCTCCACGCTGCAGGTATGGAGGAGGGAGGAAGGGACAGGAGGTTCTGTGAAAGACCTGTCTCAAGGGAATGAGGTGGAGAACATTAGAGCAGGCCACCAGATGACCTCCTCTGGCCTCCAGGTATATGTGTCCCCCGAGGTGACTTCTGGCCTCAGAGCTTGAGAGACCAGAAGACTGGGATAAAGGTTTGGTTTAGTTTCTGATAAGGCCTGCCTTCTCTCTGTGTCCTGGGATGCTGTTGAGTCCATTACATACTGTAGTAACAGAATATGCTGAGAGGGAGTTGTATATAAACAACATGAATTTATCAGTGCACAGTGTCAAAGGCTGGCAAATTCCAACCACGCTGCTGGACCCCATTCAGCATTTGTCAAGTCCTTCTGAATGCATCCTTCAGTGGAAGGTGGAAAGGCAAAGAGCACGGACGTATGACAAAGAAGGGGAATGGACCCATTTTCCAGGACCTACTTCTGTGTTACCTAACCCACTCATCCACCTACCCATGAAGGCTGAGCGCTCATGAGTTAATCATGTACCAACATGGCTGCAGTGGGAATTAGGTTTTAACCATGTATGAGAAACACACTCAAATTGTTATGACTGGTTTTCATCTTCATGTGTATCTTCAATACTGTGTGCCCTGATTTCTTCAGTCATATTGGGTCACTGCCTGTTTTTGTTTTTGTTTTTTAAACTTAATTCTCTCTTTAAATGGGCTATCTCTGAAGACAATAATGTTCCAAAATACTAGGCTTTACGGCTTTAATTTACTAATTTCATAGTTGGAGGTAGGGAAGCACCTAGTATAATCCATAATAGCTAGGAAACAAAATTGAAATGATCCAGGAAAAACATATGACTTGCTCACAGTGTCTCCAGTAGGGTAATATTAGTGATGGTAAAGAATGGTTCCTCAACCATAACACTGACCTTTGCTTAAGTGGGCTGTCCTGGGCTAAGTTTAGCAGCATGCTGGGTTTCTACTCAAAGTTGTAAGCATTACCATCCCACCTACACTTGAGTTTCAGAAAGAAAAAAAAATCTTCAAGATATTGGCAAGTTCTCCCTAGGGGACAAATCACCCGCCAAGAAAACTACTTATTTAAAATGACTCAAACACAGCACAAAATGGAGACGTTGTGAGCCAGAGGGGTGAGAACTTCATCTTCAGCTTGGCACAGTGGTGTCACCAATTCACTCCACAGGCATTCTCTTTATTTCTTATTTTCTACTATTTAACTCATAATCTTAAATATGTCTCATGGTAGTTTTGTTTTTGTAATTGCTCTTAGATTTTAGGGCATTGTTCATGCTTCTTCACCCAGTTTACTGAGGCATTCTTTACTGTGTGTCTCAAACACTCCCTCTCTTATACATGTTTTATCTCCTTCCTTTCACCCTTATCCCCTCCTCCTTTTATTTTTTAATTGTGACCTTCCATAGCTGTACAATCTCTAAAATCTTCAGATGATAACAGTATCATCTTTCCTCTCCTAGCTACTTTACCCACCCACATTACTTTTTTCCAAGTCCATCTAATACTTAATCCTTATCTGACTCATCCTAATTCCCTCCCACTTCTAATCTTAATAACCAGATTCTGAGTATGCCCCGTGCTATCCTGAGCTGTTTATGCTTCAACAGTGACTGACATCAAAGAGGCTCCTGATATTAATTGGCTAGTATGATCTTTTATTGTGATAACATCAAGTACCTGTGGTTCTTCTTTCAGTTAACACCTGACTCAAGATATAAAATAGGGTTTATACCAGGCACCCTAAGACCTTGGACTAAGGACCTACTTTCTGAACTGTATACTCTACATACAAGTCCCACTTGAGCATTTCAAATAGTTCAAGTGAAAGAACATAGGTGGTAGAAAGTATATAAGACAGGTAGAAAACTAAAACTGGATTCATAAACCCCAACATAAGAAACGAGAAACAGAAAACAGCAACACAGCAGAACTCCTCTAAAAAATATTAACCTTGCAGTAACGAGAATAAGTTCAATAAAATCCCAAACATTGAACTCAAAATAATGATGATGTGTACTCTAAACTACAAGCAAACAGCTGAACAAAATAAGGAAAGTGATGAATAATATAAAAGAGTTCAACAAAGATAAAAACCAATTGGAAATGATGAAAATAAAATAATATAGTTGATTCAAAAAAAAAAACTCTTCAGAAAGTTTCAGTAATGGAACAGACCAAAGCAAAAACAGCTTGAGTTTAAAGACAAGATAAAAGAATGGAACTATCAGACAAATAGAAGGATGAAAGGGGAGTTAAGATACATCTGTGTGGGGTTTTGGATGAGAACGACCACCACAACATCATAAATTTGAATTTCAGCTCACAGTTGTTAGAACTGTTGACGGAAGGATTAGGAGGTGTGGCCTTATTTGAAGGAGGTGTGTCACTATTCACAGTGAGCTTGGCTCTCCTATGTGAATTAACAGTTAAGAATATGTCCCACAGACATGCTTATAGGCCAATCTAATGGAGGCAATTCTTCTATTGAGGTTGTCTTTTCCCAGTTTGCAGTGAAACAATTTTTTGAAAATATCTCTTGACCCCCGAAAGACCAAACTTTTTGGAGACCTCACAGCACAAGTAATAATACTCCTTGAGATCATTTGAGAGTATGTATTTAAGTTGCTATGTTACTGTGTATTTGACTTGTTTGATTTTTAATCTGCCTTTAAAATAACAATGTGACAACCTTATTATGCCTTGGATTTCCCATGTGATCATTTTTTATAACCTAAACTAACCTATAACCTTAATTTTAAATTATGTACTCTTCTACACCCCTGAGCCAGAGTAACAAATATGTCTATTGTGGAAATCATTAGCCAAAAGCTGCCAACAGGTTAAAAGCAATTTTATACAACAAACATCTGTCTTAATAAATGTTGGAAATAACATGTGGCTATAACTTAATGTCTGCTTGTGGTTATGCTTGCTGCTCTGAATCAGTTGAGGTCAATAAAAAGACTTCTTTCCAGGTAAAATTCTGTTAAAGACTTCTGTAAAATTCCTCATTCCTTTCCCTCAAGATGCTTTACTTCTTATTCAGTAAATATAAAGCATAGCCCTTTGTTAGGGACAGCAAGATGAACCAAAGGAAGTTTCAGAACATTTGTTTACACTGTGTGATGATACATCACTGTGATTGGTTTAATAAAGAGCTAAATGATCAATAGCTAGGCAGGAGGGGTGGGGAACTGGGTGGTACTTCCAGGCAGGCAGAGAGAGGAACTCGGGATGAATCTAGGTACCAGGGAGACGCCAGTGGACATACAGTACAGAGGAGAGTTAATCAAGTCATAAGGCAGAATGTAGATTAATAAAATTAGGTTATTTTAAGTAATAAGAGCTTGTTGGACAAGCCCAAGCTCAGGCCAAGCTTTCATAATTAATAGTAAGTTACCGTGTTTTGGAATAATTCTCTTGTACATTGTAAAAATTTGTCACTTGAATTGATTTAATAAAATGCTTATTGGCCAGTAGCCAGGCAGGAAGTACTGGCAGAGCAACCAAACTAGGATGATGGGAAGAGAAGGGTGGAGTCGGGATTCTCTAGCCAGATGCAGAGGGAGCCAGAAATGAACATGCTATGTTAATAAGGATACCGCCAAGTGGCAGAACATAAATAAGGAATAACGGTTAACTTAAAATGTAAGGGTTAGCTAGTAACAATCCTGAGTTATCGGTCAAGCACTTATAAGTAAGATTAAGCCTCCAAGTCAATTATTAGAGAACAGATGGGCGAAAGAAAAATATCTGTTTACATCGCCGTGTTGTTATTTGTGAGCTGGTGGCCCAAAGGAAAGCCCAACTACAGATACAGGACAGGCACAGATTAATACATGTAGGCACAGATTCCAGTATATGCACATATAAGACACAGGTACAATTTGCAGATATCGGGTATAAACACTCCTAACAGACAGATTGCAGATAGGTCAGAAATCAAAAATTATAGACAGAAAAGACACAGAAAGAGAAGTGAAAATTCAAATCGTGCTTGTGACCTTTAGACAAGTACCATGCATGTATGCAACCACACACAAGCACACAGAGAGAGAGAGAGAGAGAGAGAGAGAGAATAGAACCACTTTAAAAATACCAATGAAATTCAAAAAAATCATCATTAGGTCTTTATATATGATTTTTTGAATTTATAGACAAATGTCTTATCAAAATTCAGCCAAGAGGAAATAATCAATTTAATCGGATCTGTAACAAGCAAGAGGACATGCAGCTGGAAGGGGCATGTGCTGGGGGGACAGATATCAGAGTGGATGGATATTTTCTAAATAATTGCATGCATGTATTAAATTCTCAAAGAACAGGTAAACTATTAAGGTTACATTTAAAAAAAAACAGTAACCCAGTTACAGAGTCAGATCTAATGAGGAAAAGCAAACAACAATGTGCATCACCCTATGCTGGTCAGTGACTCCACCTAGGTGAGTTCTCAGGGATACTTTCAATACGTGGTCACAATAACGCTGAGAGACGGGTAATTAAACCTTTTCTAGATTAGGAGATGAATCTGATGGGATAAATGATTTCTAAGGAGATCTCAGAGCTGATAAAACTAAGCAGGCATCTAAAACTCTGTGTTGTTCTTCTGTTAGAATGAGAAGGGCATTGTTATGTACTTATATAGAAATTACACACATTGACTTGGAGAAGATCCCTGGCTTTTTCAAGGCCACACACACACACACACACACACACAATGATGTCACTTCTTAATCTTGGAAGGCTAGTGAGTTTAGCAGTTCATAACTACATGAGCAGAAGTTGGTCATAACTGTAGCAAGGAACTTGAACCGTTTTGCTTCTTCACCTATAATGATCTACTAGCATCTCCTGGAAGTGTTCTAAAGGCTTAACCAGATGCCATGTGTTACATGCCTGCCTCACAGGGCTCCAATAAAGGTCCACTATTACTATTTGTAAATAAAGTTAAATAATTCTATGGAACCCAATTCCTAGGCAGCTTCTTTATACCAAGTAATCAGTGTATTATTCTTCTAAGGCTTCCCTAACAAAACAGCACAAACTGAGCAACTTAAAAGAGCAATTTATTTTTTCATAGTTCTACTTTTCAGAAATGTTAGCAGCACCTCATCCCATGGAGATTCTGGGTAAATCTCCCCCAGGTCTCCCATGGTCCTGCCATTGCCAGCAACCATTGTTCCTTGTCTGACATCTTCACCAATCCACTGCCTGCCTCCTCTCTTCACATGGCATTCCCTCCTGTGTGTTTCACTGTCCACATCGAAGGAAATATAGTATCATCTTAACCAGTTAAACCTGTAACAAAATAAAAACTAAATTAAATAAAAGACAATGCCTGCATGAAGAATGTTTTAAATAAGGGTAAATTGACTTCACATTGTCTCCAAGTTATTAGTTGAGTTGCTGAAAAGGAAATTCATATTCAATCAATTCAGTGTCCTTGGTTCCCACACGAAGGCTGTGATGGGTAATGAAAACAAAACTAGTTCACAGGCTCTTCCTAAATATATCTGTGGAAAATCATGGCTGTGGCTGGAAGGCAAAACGTACCTCACTCCCACTCCTGGGAATCCACAAACTTGGACACATTCTTCCAACTGCAATTGATTTTATACACTATTTAGAGTGAATTCAGTTCCCCCACTTAAGCAAGAAATGAGAGCCAAAAGATTAGAAAATATTTCCCATTATTTTTGCTCATCTGGTTTAGGGGAAATTTTTATATAGGTGAAATTGTTTGCATTCAAGGGGTTGCTTCTCAAAGCATGGATAAGGACCAGGAAAAGAATGCAAGGTATACCCAGAGCTTCCTGGGTCAGGACAAGTTGAATGAAAAGACAAGAGAGTCTTGCTATGCTTATGGGTGCATGCTGATGTTAAATCAAAAGAGCACATGCCAGAGTTAAGGAAAGTGTTCTGCTGATCTGTCTGATGTCTAATTTTCCTATCCTAATGAGAAAGTTGTAAGTGTTCAGACCCTGATATAAGAGGTCAGGAATTTAGAGTGCTGGTAAAACCCCAGCCCTCCCACCCCACCCCCCTCACACACATGCGTGCACAAAAAAAGAAACAAGAAAGGAAGGAAGGAGGAAGAAAGGAAGAGAGAGGGGGGGAAGAAAGAAAGAAGGAAAGAAAGAAGGAAGGAAGGAAAGGAAGGAAGGAAGGAAGGAAGGAAGAAAGGAAGAAAGAAAGGCAAAATACCCATGGCTTTGCTTCCTTTTACTGCCAGGTAGCATCCCAAGAGTAAACGGACACAGCTAACATCATTTCAAGTCAGTAAGATATCAATATGTATGAAACCACTAAAAGTCACATAGCATAATACACAAGACATAGAGATTGTATCACATTAAGGGCAAGGCACAATACAAGCAGTTATAAGCAGCATGAAGGATCTTAGAAGAGCAGTCACGTAGTAAAGATTTAGCTGAGGCAAGCCTCTGAATCTCAAAGTTTGCAACGTGCTAATTGTTAGGTCTTTGAGCCAGAACTACTCATTGTAAACACTGTATAGAATCACTAAATACTTAAACATCTAAAGCATTGTTCCATAAAAATGTCTCCTCTAAAGTCATAAAACACATATACACATGACAATTAGTTGCATGGTACAGCCAAACAAAAATATGATGCTTGATATAAGCATAATGGTGACTATATTTGAAAGATTATTGGAGAAAAGAATGTAATATGTTTAATAAATTATAAACATTTTGAATATATTTTGTGACCCCATTTCCAGTAGACTAAGTTTCCTATTTTTATTGTACTATTTTACTAGCACATTTCCCATGTTATTCCATTAGGAATCTGTCAGATTCAATATGTATGGATTCCAAAATGATGTGGGCAAGTGTTCTTGTGTCCCCTAAAGGGGGCTACTTCCTTGTTATGACAGAAAGTACAACTTCAATGCTATTATTGACTGAAAACCATTTTCATTGATTAGTTTCAACATAAAGTTCCCTCCATCCCTAATCATTGCCACTTTTTCCGTTAGGAACTGAGTTTGCTGAAAACTCTGAGTTTGAGCTTGGAAAACTTGTAGAATGCTAAGATGGGAGGTTATAGACAATATGAGGGTTGCCATGAAGCTAATTGAGTCTTTCGAAATAAAAATGTGAAGACACAATCTGTTTTTCTTTATTCTAATTATCTATGAATGTCTTAAATTTTGTTACTATTCCCTGAGCATGCCCAATAATCTCTTGAATACAGACTGTAAGTCCATCAAATTCCAATAGCTAGTAGTCATTAGACCAAAGCTAATGGGCACTGCAACTCACAGTTTTCAAAGTTTCAAAGATACAAGTAGGGGCTTGCCTTCTTTGATCCTATAATGAAAGAACAGAGGAAAACCTAATTGTGCAAGGCAAATGCTGTACCTTAAATAACTGCAAAATAACAATTTATGACCCTTAAGAAACCAAATTAATTTTGAAGCACAGCATGGGAGAAATTGAGTCCCCAAAGATTGCTGATGACACTCCTTGTAAGATAATGCCTCCCCACTGCTGGGCAGCAAGAAATAAATGCTTGCAGATGAAGTCTGTGGTTTAGGAGCAGGAGTCAAGGTGCAAGGAGTCTGAAATTCAGTAGTTTTACCTCCTACCAAGCATTAAAATGTGAATTGCTGCATTTGGGATTATAAGGGTTATTTCAACCTTTGAAATCTGGATTTGTACCCATACATGAAACAGTTTGAGTAATAAACCCATCTTTACTTCCATGATTGACATCCCTCTAAAACAAAATTCTGAACCAAACCAGTGGGTTCAAGGGATTAAGGCTTTATCCAGGGTATAGGAGTATTTACATCTTATCCCAGCATTCCAAAGAATACAAAAGGATTCTGAGTTCAGAGCCAGCCTGGGCCACATGGCAAGACTCTGCCTCAAAGGTGGAATGGGGATATCGAGGCCTTGACTGTGATGACTAAGAATAAAATATGAATAAAATATAAATAGAACAGTGAAGATAAATATTTAACAAAATTTGAAGTGAAAGTGTGCTCCAAGTTCACTGAAAACAAAAATTTAGGTCAGGTAATAAATTTGACATGTCTAATCTCATGGCTAACTAACCTTGAAAAACAACTAAACATTTTCAGCATCAAAACCACAAATCACTTGTTTTTCATTCATGCATTTACTGGGTGTTTAACTTATGTTGGATGGGTTCATAGTTTTGAGTTGTATATTTGTCTGGTTCTGATCATCTTCTTGGGCCAGTACCTAAGCACAGATTAAGCTTTTACTAATGACCCATTCACTGGTCCAAGTCAGTCATACACTGAAGCCTAAATGTACTTTTCTCCCTTTCTGGGATGGCAAAGGTATGCATGTATAATATTGCTGAAGGGAATACAAAATGGAAGCACCATGGCTGTCAAAGGAGAACATGTCACTTATATCAATATAAAGCCACTACATGGCAGGAAACTACCACTCCAAAAGAAGAAGAGAGGCATGAACTGAATAAAGACAACCCAACAGATATGCTAATGGAGAGGAGGGGGGCCTCAAGAGAGCTCAACACTAGATCAAAAACTATAGCCAACTAAGGAATGAAGAGAAATAGTCTTCCCCAGGAAAGAGCACACCAATTTCATGTCCAATACTAAATGGTCGGCCCTTAAAATATACACACGTGTAAGTAACATTGTACAGACTGAAATGTATTCATGTATTTAGGAGAGAGAGAATAAACAAAGAAAAAGAAACCTTTAATTTGGAAGAGAGCAAAAGGCTAGATGCTCAAGTGTGGGATGGTCTGGAAGGAGAAAAAGGAAGGGAGAAACTATATCATAATACTGTAGTTTCAAATATAAAGTGTTTTTTTTAGATTTTTAGATGAAGGAAGAACTTTTCAGTTTTTTTTTTTCAGTCTTGAAAGGAACCTTAGTCGGGTACCATAAGTCATACAGAAAGCAACCTTAATCAAACTTTATCACATCCCACATAAGGAAATTGAGGCCCCCCCCAAAGGAGATTTTTTTCATACAATGGTGTGACCTATTAGTGTCCAAGTTACCTTCCTAGTCACAGCAGTGGAGCCCAGCAGAGGAATGGGAGGAGCACTCTTACAAACAGAGTTAGCCCCAGCAACAGGATAGAGAGTTCTTTACAAATTTCAAGAATTTTATTAAAAGGAAAAAGTTCTTCAGCCTTCTGGAAATTTCTATCATAAATTCAAATACTGACTGTCAAGTTCACAGATCCCATGACTATTGTGCTTAATCCAACAACATGATTTTTTTTTTTTTTTTTTTTTTGCCAAACCTGATGGCTCATGTCTGTAATATCAGCTGCTTGGAAGACAGAGAGGGGAAGGTCTCAAGTTAAAGTCTGCCTAGACTACATCTTGAGTTCAAGGTCCTCTTGAGTAACTTAGTAAGATTAATTTTAATTGTCAACTTGACACAAGTTAGAACCACCTGAAAGGAAAGTGTCGATGGGACATTGTCTAGATCAAGTTGGCCTATAGGCATGTCTGTGGTGGTTGTCTTGATTATGTTACTTGAGGACCCAGCCTAAAAGTGAGTGGAGCCCTTGCCTGGGTTTGGGTCCAGATTTGGATAAGGGAAGGGAAACTGAACTGAGCAGAATGCATTAGTCCTTTTCTGTGGTGTGGAAGCGGCTAGCTGCTTCAAGTGCCTGCCTTGACATGCCCAAAATGGTGACTAATAACCTGGGATTGTGCTCAAATAAAGCCTTTCTCCATCAAAAATGCTTTTGTTGGAATGTTTTTATCATAGTAACTAGATATAATGAAACTAGAATTTGGTCTATAAAATACAAAGAAAAGAGAGGCTGGGGGTGTACTCAGTGGTCTTGCCTAGTGCGCATAAGGCCATACAATTATCATTTTTATCATATAGTCTATAATTGTTACTACTCTGCATCAGTTACTTCTCTATTGCTGGGAGAGACATTATGGCCAAGGTAACTTATGAAAGAAATAGGTTTTATTTTTTTTCTTTTGTTTTTAATGGACTTGCTACAGTTTTAGAGAATGAGACTGTGATCATCCTGACAAGAAGCATGACAACAGTTAAGTAGGCATGGTTATAAACAGGATATATATAAGCAAGGACATAAGAGAGTTTATATCCTTCTCCACTAGTAGGAAGCAGATGGGGGAGGAAGAGAGAACTAACTTGGAATGGTGTGAGCTTTTGAAATCTCAAAGCCCACTCCCAGTGACACACCTCAGTCAACAAGACCACACCTCCTAATCCTTCCCAAACAGTTCTATCAATGGGGAACCAATCATTCAAATACATGAGGAGCCTATGGGGGATATCACCACATCCGCCTAAAACAAAGTAGAAAATACCCAAAGTTTGACCTTGCTAGTCCCTCATAATTCCTTTTTCCTCTGGACTCACACCAAGGTTCTTTTCAGTTGCTATAATTAAATACCCCCAGAGAAGCAACTCGATGGTGGAAGAGTTAATTTCAGTAACTCAAGGTACCGCCTGTCATAGCAAAGATGTTGAGACAATGGGAGCTAGAAGCAGTTGGCCACATGGTGTCCACAGCCAGGAGAAGTGAACAATGAAATCATGTTAGAGCTTAGCTTGTTGTTTTCATTTTATGTAGTCCGGGATTCCTTGCTGAGAGAATAGCCTTCACACAGTTGACTGTGTCTTCCTACATCAGTTATAACATAACCAAGGTTATTTGCAGCAGGCATGACCAAAGAGGCCTGTCTTCTGGGTGATTCTAGATTCTGTCAAGTTAACTATACTACCCACCGCAACTACCTCACCATTTTTCTCAAAAATTTAGCCCTCCATATTGACAAAGGTATTTTTTTAATTATATGTTCTCTTGCTTCTAAGTTATAAATATATAAATTATCGGTTTTAATAGTTTAACACCAGGGTCTCAAGAGGACCAGGCATGATGCCAGAGTCCTGAATGACTGAGGTCAAATAGAAAACCAAAGGCTGCTGCTCAGAATGTGTTTACTCCGTCCATGAAATAAACTCTAAGACAAAGCGAGGCTTTCACTTACACAAGCATGTCATTCTGGGCTAATAGGCACAGGTAATGAACTGCTCCAAGGAAGGAATGCAAAGGACTGTCATCGGCAGAATAGTGCTTGGCTCTGCTCTAAGTATGAAAAGGAGTTTGGGGTGCAGCAGGAAACATTTCACGTGCACTTGAGCAGCCCAATGTACAAACCTGCGGAAAGAAGAAAAACCCATTTTTGGTCAAGATCCAAACAACAGAATAAGGCCAAGTAGGTGAAGTTACAGAGAAAAAGCAAAGTGACAACTTATCAGAGATGACATTCAGGTAAGACTCTCTGTTTCTGAGAGAAGGGTAAAAGAGAATGATGCTGCCAGGCACACTCCCATGATTCCTACCTCCCCGCCTCCAGCTTCAGTACGGCCTCCTGGAAGGCAGCAGTGCAAGATAAAAGGACAAAACCGGATACCTTGAACTCAGTCCCAGTCTTACCACTTTTAGCTGAGTAACCTTCACTGAATCATTTAACCTTTTCAAGTCTCTCCATCTGTACTCTGAGTTGGATTTTTCTCATAAGCTTGTTCTGAGGAGTCAGTGGTATATTGCATGTGCAGGGTTCTGACCTTCACATAGCAGTGGAGTGGCAGAGAATGGACAGTGTTAGTTGTTACAATTACTATGACTTAAAGTAGAAGAGTAGAGAGGCTAGCCACAGCCATACAGGAAGGGACACTGCTAGGATTGAAGAGTCAACTCTGGCCCAGCAGGACAAACACACATCTATAGGAAGTGTTGTTCAGGCAAAAGGCAAAGGACCCACTGTGGCTGCCCTGTTAGAGTAAAAGGTTACATGGCCAATTAACTGAAAAAATCACGAGGATTTGAAAACCGTTGCCTTCACAGCATCACTGATGAATTGTCCCACAAAGTTCCCCATCAGGTTAGGCTCAACCATCAAGCTGACCAGAGCCCCCTCAAGTGTACCCCATCGTTCACTCTTCATATATGAGAAGGACACTCTGAAGTATGCATTCCTTGGGGGCAGGCTGAGACGCCAAGCTTTCACATTGCTGGCTGTGGGTTGAATATGTATGTCGCTCCACAACTAATATATTAGAACTGAACCCATGTGATAGTATTAAGAAAAGGACCCTTTAAGAGACGACTAAATCATGCAAGCAGAACCCACATGAAAGGATCGGTGACCTTTGAGAAGGGCAGGAGGAGAAAGCTGGGCCCTTTCATGTGATTAGCTCTTCTGTCACAGAAGGACACAGCGTTCTCTCTGCCCTTGGTACTTCCGTCCTATGGATGTAGCAAGGCTTCACCAGAAACCTCGGTTCCCGACACTACCATGACATTGGACTTCCCAGCTCCCACAATCAGAAGAGTAGATTCCCATTTCTTATGAATTACCTAGCTCTGTGCATTTTATTATAAGCACACAAACAGATTAAGACAGGTTTCTTTAAAACAATAAAACACAGAGGAAACCATGTCTAACAAATTCCTTTTTGAGGTATTTTTTGGGGGGGGTGACTTTGGTTCACCTCTGTGTCCCCTTTTAACCCATATCTATTATTTCATTGCACTGAGAAATCTGGGGGTGCCCTTCCTCCTGCCTTACCTCCTGGTCTCAGACAGCTCATTGCCTACATGCTCAGCACAGAGCCCTTGTCTGGCCCTTACTGTCTCAGCAGCTCAGGTATGCTCTCTCCTACTGTGCTGGGCTGATTTGATCTGAGCTCCTCCAGGAAGGACCTCACCATCTCTACTTTCACATAGCAGAGTAGCATGTGAATAGAAGATAGGCTTAAACGTGGATTCTCTATGTTCTAGTTGTGAAATGAAAAACAGCATCTCCTCACCATAACTCCCTCATCTACTAACACATATTGGATTCTCTGGAGAAAAGAAATATCTTACTTTAAATCCACTCTCATGATCTTTTGAAATGAATGTCATTATTGAGATTTTAAACTGAAATACAGGTCATTGCACAAAAATTGCAGAAGTAGATTTCTCTTCCCAGAAACATCTCATTTTAACACTATAGAACATTTTTTTACTAACATGTAGAACATAATAAATATCTTCCACTGGGTAAAAAAAACAAATGAGACTCAATGAATTCATGATGAGACAGAGACAAAGAAATTTGGTAATGGTCTCCCATTTTACCATCAAGAAAATAGAAATCTTAAAACTATTAAGGTTGTCACCAGTAGTGTCACAATTCTGAATCCTATTCAGATTTGATCCCTTCATATCAGCATTTCTAAACTTTAATGATTTACGTATCATTTTTTAAAGATGTTGTTGTATCTACATAGCAGCTATGCCGTTACTCTATAATCTGAGTTAACTCACCTTGCTCTGTGCTAAAATAGGCAACTGTATCTTGAATGTTCATTTAGCTTAATGTGCAATGCATTCGCAGGGCCTCTGTCAGCACATATCTCTAACCCTGGCCCTCCAGATCCTCAGCCTAGAAAGCAGGTAATGTAAAGAATGGGTCTCATTCACACTTGCATAACTTCAGGCCTCCTGTGGGGCATCCTCCCTGTGCAGGACACCAGGCACTGCAAATCACCTTTGATCTTAGGCTTTCCTCACAAACCGAAATAAGGAAAAATACTGCACATATAGTTCCAGCTGCTCAGACTTCCCAGGTGTGATTCTGCCACAGTTCATTGGTGGTGAGCATTTGAGTTCCTTCAGCCTCTGTTCTTTCAAATATATATGGGTGTTTTGCTTACATGTATGTCTGTACACCACAATAAGTATATGGTGTTCATGGAAACCAGAAGGAAGTATCAGATCCCTAGGATAAAGTTACAGATAGTCATGAGCCACCAAGTGGGTGCTGGAAATGGAACTCAGGTCCTTTGGAAGAACATTTAGTTCTCTTAACTACTGAACCATCTCTCTAGATCCCACTTCAGTGTCTTAGATAAATTCTACAACTACCTGCTTCCCAGCCCATTTCTCTCTCTCCATTTCCCGGCACCTTCTCCGATTACAACCCATGTTTTCTCCCATCTCAGTTCCCCTGCCTGTTTCCCAGGAGAGATTTCACCCAGCTTACTAAATAAATTTGTTTACAGCTATTGTCTCTTCCTGAGATAGGTATCACTGTGTATTTTCCTATTTTTCACTATTGCGTCCACATCAGGGGGGCTTCTAATTTACCATGCTACCCAGAAATCCCAGGCTCTAGCTTGAGCCCCAAGACTGAAAAAGAGAATAATAATGAGGGAGGAAATCTGTACATGGTGACTGTAGACACTATTAATTGGGTTTTTTGTTTGTCTGTTCATTTGTTTTTCTTTGTTATTTGCCTGCTGGATTTTGTGGCTGAGCAACCCATATAGGGAGAGCTGCTTGTACAGTCACATCTGAGGGGCCTAAGCTTAGGATTTCAACATGGGCACTTAAGGGCAATGGGGACTCAATTTAGATTATGATAGTGCATTCAACATACTTAAAACTCTGTGAGCATTTGGTTCAGAGTTCAGACAAGGCAATGTACTCAGTATTCCAGTACCCCCTGCTCAGAAAATAGAAGATTGATCTGGTGATCTGATATTCTACTTTGCACAAGGTTCTCTAGCCAAGATCAGCTGAAATTGCCAGCGAAGTGTTCCCCAACAAACACACACACACACACACACACACACACACACACACACAGAAGCAGTTGAGTGAACTGACTAAGAACTAGACACTTTTCTGGAGGTGAAACCCTGAAATCAAAGATGCTGAAGTAGAAAGTCAGCCCCAGCATGGGGATTACAAACATTCACCACCAGGTCCAGCTTGCTTTCGTTTCAAGAAATTGTCTGAGATCAGAAGAAATGCAAAGTTAAGAATAGTGAGCCAGAGAGTCAAGTCCATGGTTAAGAACTTGTTTTCCTCTTGCAGAAAACCTAGGTTTGTGTCCCAGCAACCACATGGAGATTCACAACCACCTATAACTCTGGTTCAAAGGGACCCAATGCTCTCTAAATATATGGTGCACATACATACATACATTCAGTCACATACACACACAGGCACACACATATACACACACACATTTTAAGCAGAGAATAATGGAACATACCTTTAATTCCAGCACTTAAGAGACAAAGAGAGGCAGAGCTCTGTGAGTCTGAGGCCAGGCTGGTCTATACAGCAAGTTCCAGGCCAGCCAGGGCTACACAGCGAGACTCTGTCTCAAAGAAAATAAGACAATGACATGACAGTTTGAATGAGGTGCTCCCCATATTCTAGTCACTGAGTACATGGTAGTCCTGTTCAGGAAGACACTGGGAGCTTGAGGAAAGACTGGCACCATTTCAGGTGTGTTCTCTGCTCCCTGTTTTGTGGTTGTTTCTAGATGTGAGCTTTCAGCTTCTAACTCCAGCCTCCTTGTTTGCCTGCCACCAGCTATCCCCAGCATTGTAGACCCTACCCCTCTGGAACCCAAAGCCCCACATAACTCTTCCTTCTGTTGGCTAGTTCCAGGGTTTTAGCACAGCACTAGAAAAGTCACCAATAAAAACAAGTTAAACCGGCTGGTTCACTCCTGTAATAGGAGCTCTTGGGAGACAAGAACTGCTATGAGTTTGGGGATAACCCAGGCTGCAGAGTGAGACCCTGTCTCAAAAGAAAACCAACAAGAAACGAAAACCGAAAAGAAAAAAGAAAAGGCCCATGTGTCTCAATGAGACTGCATGTACTGCTCGTAATTATACATGAAACTGAGTGCTCCACCACTGTGCCACACCTCCACTCGTCCAAGCTCTTCATTAGTATCTATTCTCAGCTGAATAGTGATTTAGTCTTCAAGCTCCTAGAGATCGGTTCTTCTAGTGTTGGAACAAAAAGATAACAAGCAAATAGAGATGGGTAGGAACACTACTCGATAATCAAAGCCAATGTATCTGTTCCCTGTTCTAAACATTAAAAAAACGCAGGTGCTGCAGAGATTAAGAAAGCTGCTCTAATCCACCAACCCAGAGAGTGCCAGCTCTGTGTGTAGGGTACAGGGCAACATGATTTGGGAAGAGGGTACAGAGAAGGGAGAAGAGCATAGTCCTAACACGGTGGAGCAGCTCATGTGCTCTGAGAACACTTTCTTCCTCAGAGCAGTCCAGCAAAGGTCTGTTTATTTTCCAGATGAGAAAACTTAGGGTAAAGGGATTCAATTTTACATAAGTGGGAAGGTTTGAACTCATAAATCTTCTGCTTTAGCAGACTTTCCACTGTCCTGTACTCCTACTGTTGGGCAATTAAAAATCCTATGGTCAACACTCAGAGTTCATTATCATGGTTTGGGATTTCTCTTCTCTTCTATTCTTTTTTGTTTGTTTGTTTGGTTTTGTTTTGTTTTTTCGAGACAGGGTCTCTCTGTATTGTTTTGGAGGCTGTCCTGGAACTCGCTCTGTAGGCCAGGCTGGCCTCTACCTGCCTCTGCCTCCGAGTGCCACCAACGCCCAGCTTTCTCTTCTATTCTTGATGATAAGAAGAAAGAACATAGATAAGAAAATCATTTAGGGATAACTTTTCTACTAAGAAATGACAAGAGAAATTATAGAAGGAAAAGGAGGCATTCACTCTTTTGATGACTTTAAACTCAGCATACTTGATCTGGAATTTTCTTCCTCAAACAAGAACCCCCTACCCCTGAAAAAAAATCAAGAGATGAGCAGATGGATGGGTGGATAGGTGGGTGGATGGGTGGGTAGGTGAATACATACATAGATAAGTAGAAGGAAACAGATAACCCTCTTTTTAAAATTCTACTTGTCGTTTTTACTTTGCTTCATGCTATGCCTACAATTAAGAGTATGGTTTAGTTGCTTTGTGTGTAGCAGTGAGGGAAATAGTTACAGTCACTGTCTCAGCAGTCAGCTTGCCTGGGTTCAGACTGCCAGCACTACCACACTGAGCAATGTACCATGCCTTCTTCATTGCTAACCAGAGCCCCTACTCCCCAGGTTATTTAGAAAAAAATTAAGTAAGTTATATTTTAAATAAGGGCACAGTTGCTATAGTGTTACTAAATAGGAAAGTCATGAAATTATTTACTGTTTTTAGAAGCTAGGCAAAGATAAACTTTAAAATGGTTAGTTGTATCAAGATAATAGAAACTAAATCATCGCTTTGAAATGTAAATATAGAAATCAATTGCAAATAAAAATTTTAATTTCCTCCTTATAAATATTTCATAATACCAAAGTATAAGCACTAATGGAATTCTCTAGATAGTGTTTAAAATAAATGCTTTGGATTAATACAAACAACATGGGGTAGGGCAGGGATAAGCACAGCCTTTGACAATTTGTAAAAAGTATTTGCTAGAAAAAAAATGTATTCTTCCTCATATAACCAAATGTAACAGTTTTACACTTTGGTGAGTGCAAAGCCATAGCACAGCTGGAAGGGGACGGTGGGAGGGGAGCACAGTGGGGAGCACAGTGATCACCTGGGCAGCACTGTTTTCCCTTTGTGTTTCCTATACTACTCATAAAAGAGCGAGCCAGAGCAGATACATTCTGAGCATGTTCAATTTAAGGACATATGTCCAAAAGGAAAAGGTGGCAGATGCTAATGTTTCTGGGCCTGTTTGGTTCAAGGTCTAGTGCTCATGATCAAAAGTGAATTGTAAGGTAAATGTGGTGGCATATATCCTATAATTCCATCCAGAGAGGCTGAAGTAAAAACAGTGACTCTCTGTTGAGGACCAGACCATCCAGGGCTGTAGTCTGGATGATGAAATCCAGACTCAGAAAAGGAAAAGGGAGGTGGCAGACATGAACCACTCCAGGGCAGGCTCAGTTTAGTATTATAAAAAGCAAGTTTCCTTTGAGTTGCCTGAAGGAGTGAGTCAGTGTGGTTCGGGAATCGTAACTGATTCCTTGCAAGTTTCTCCAAAGAGTTTAGTGAAATAACAAGAACGATGCCAAAGGTGTGCTAGCAGTCTTTGGAAGGGGCTGGAACATTCTCTCCCACAAGTGTGACATTCCCCCTAACTAACAGTCCCAGCCTTGCTCAGCAGCTGATGTGTTCTTTCTGTTTTTAATATAGTTTGAACTTTAATAGATTTGAATTGGTTGAAACATTAAGTGCTCAGCCTTTTTCATCCTATGCTTAGTACCTATATATGTTTGTTCTGCTGCTATAAAAAACTACTATACTATTTTGACCTAAAATAGCAAATCTGTATTATTTTCTGGTCTCTCGTTCACAGAACAGGGCTTGCTTCCTAGTCTGAAATCAAAGTATCTGTGGGTTTGCCTGCCTTTCTGGTAGACTGATGTAACAATTTATTTTCTGGCGTGAGGGTGCCTACTTTCATCAGCTCATGGTTACTTCCTTGTGTTAAAAGTCAATGGCTTTGGAAAAGTCTTTCTCGTATCTCATCTTAGTCAACTTGCTCTCCTGCCCCAAATACATTGTGGGGACACCAGACCTTGAGCAGAGACCCACTTCCCCTTCGGCCTGGGAGTAGGCAGCTTTAAGACAATGTTTACTAAAAACATGTTTACTAAAAACAATACAATGCCTGGGGCAATAAGTTCCTGGAAAAGGCCTGCCCACGGAAACTGCCCTGACCTCGACCTTGTCCAAAGACTAACCGCCTCTTCTGACACGCCCAGATCAGTTTTTGGTGTCAGAGCAGAACCAGCCAGGGTAGAGGAGAGAGCAGAAGCTTCTCTGGAGGGAGCCTTTCTTAGGAAGTTTTCTTGAACCTTTTTGGGGCCTGCTTAAAGTTTTCTTTACATGGTTGAACGAGTCTCTGTGTTGTCAATCCCCGACACCCTCCGCACGTTCTCGGACACAGGCTGCACAGCAGACGCGACATACATGGCTTAAACACAGGGTTTTACCTCCCACAGGCCCAGAGGCTGGGTGTCAAGAATGAGTGTGGTCAGGTTGTGATAGGGCACACTTTCTGGCTTGCAGATGGCTATCTTCTTGCTCTGCCCTTGTACATTAGTGACTTCTTAGAAAGGCACTAATCATAGCATCATGAGAGTCTCCCACTCCATGAGCTCCTCTGACTCTGCCTTTCAAAGACCCTGTGGTGGTTTGAATAGTGTCACACAACAGACCTCCATGTGCACACACATGCACACACACCCACTCACAAATATATAATATATAAATATATATATATATATAGAGAGAGAGAGAGAGCAAATGTAAGACTAAATTAGCAGAATTCATGAAAGAGAAAGATGTTATATATGCTGCATGTGCACTTAACATAAATCAGTAGACTTTGAGTAATGAAGTTACTTTCAGTAAAGTAAGAGGACCTTGTCCAATCAGGTGAAAGACTTAAGAGAAAAGTCTGGTATCCCCTAAAGAAAAAGAATTTCAGGGCTGAAGAGATGTCTCAGTGGTTAACATCACTTGCTGCTATTGTGGAGAACCTGGGTTCGACTCCTAGCACCTCCATAGTGGCTTAAAAACTGTAACTCCCAAGAATTTCCATGGTGGACATTCATACACGTAAAATAAATAATGTTTTAAAAAGGATCTCTGCCTTCAGACTTGCATTGCATGCATGGATAAAAAATTATAAGATATTCTCCTATGGAAATTTCCAGCCTCGGTGGTTTTGAAGCTAAATCTTGCTATGTTGTCCAGGCTTGTCTCATACTACAAAGCCTAGGCAGAACATGAAGGCATGCCAATCCTCCTGCTTCAGGCTCCCAAGTGCTGGGATTGCAGGCATGAGCCACTATGCTTGACTAAAATTTTTATTATAGAAATTTAGAAGTTGGATGTGTTTCTGTGAAAAACAATAGATAGTACTATGTTAAGATGGATTCTGAAATTGTCATAACTCAAAGCCAGGCTCATACAGGAAGGTCACTATCAGCTTCAGGCAAGATTGTTCTACACAGGAAATTCCAGACCAATCTAGGCTACAGAGTGAGACTGTTTAAAAAAAAAAAGTATAAAATAGGGATACATGCCTGTGAGAATATAGTTCTCATGACAGAAATTTGTTTGAAAATGATAGTAATGGAACTGTCTTCTTCCTAGTGTGCCAGCCTTGGTATCAGGAAAATAAGTATTTCTCCTGTAGGAAAAATGAAACTCATGAAAATTAAAACATAAACAAAAATTCAAACTTTTATTCACCTAGATATATACACAACTTTCAGTTTCTCACAGGCTTTCCAAAGACCCAAATACCAACAACTTTGTCTTAAATTGTGTTCTGATTCTTATCTTCTTAGCACGTGACCATAGGTCAGGCAAAGGCCTGGAGTGAACCTTGGGAAACCAGAAGGGTCCCAGTGGCCTTGTTAGACTTGGTATAAGTGGAGCTGAGCAATTCTGACATGTAAGATCCTGTCCTAGTGTGTTTTCAGAAAAGAGCAAGGAGCAAACAAACCAAGAATTCTGCAGGCTGTACCACTGAGTTGGGGTAAGGAAGAGAAAAGAAATGTGCTACCACTGTAATTCTCAAGTTGTTATTAAAATAGAAATCTGTCTACTCAGTAGACTTCTCTAGCTTTCAAGTGTCTAATAAACGAGCCCTGTGAACCCTTGACCCCTCAGAAGTACTTCAGTGCTGTGTGGTAGTTTGATTGTGTTCTGACAAATAAAGCTTGCTTAGAGTCAAAGGGTAGAGCTAGCCACTGACTATAGAGGTTTGGAGGACTGTAGCCAGAGAGGAGACAGGAAGTGGTAAGACTTGGCTGAGAGAGAATCTCGGCCCTTCTGGACAGAGGAACTGAAAAGGTAGGAAGGGACTTGGGGGTGCTCCCTGTCCTATGATCTTTCAGGATCTTATCCCAATATTTGGCTTGTGGATTTTTTATTGATAAAGATTAATTAGATTAATACGTCACATCTGCATGTAAACTAAAAAGTGGCATACTTTTATGAAGGATTAGAGAGTAACGTCTCAGGTTTTATTGGCCCCTTCTCAACTCTAGTTTATAAACAGAAGCAACTGAAAGCCACACAGAAAAGGATCCACATAGCAGTGTGGCACTGACTTGAACCTTAGTTCTTACCTGCCGCAGACGTTGCACATCTGATTGTTTCCTACCACGCTTAAATCTCTCAAAGTCATTTGTAGAATCAGCTACACTAAACAGGCAGCTATACTAAACTGCAGCCATGAGGATGCAGTGTTTGTCATTCCTCTCCATAGACAGCAGATCTTGACCACGATGAACATGGTAAATTTTGATTGCTAGACTATGCCCACTTATCTCTAAATGTAGAGGAGAAAGACCAGACATTTCTCAAAAGAAGTCGTCAACAGATGAATGGAAAGAAAAATGTTTAGTATCACCAATCACCAGGGAAATTAAAACAAGAAGGTACTGCCTCACGCTGCTTAGAATGACTGTATCAAGAAGGCATAAAATAACGACACTGGGAGGATGTTAAAAAGGACTCTTCTGCGCTGTTGGAGAGGATGTAAATGAGCTCAGTCAGCATGGAACACAGCATGCAAGGTTCCTTAGCAAACTTAAAGAAAGAACTACCATTTGAACCAGAAGTCCAACTCGTGAGTTACAAAGAAAAAGAAAGCAGAGTGCTGGAAAGTCATCTGCATGGCTGTGTTCATGGCAGCGCTGTCACAATCATCAAGCCAGGGCAGTAACCTGAGTGTCCATCACCTGATGAAAGCATGAGAGAAGTGAGGCACATATATACAGTACGACACTCCTAAAAAGGAATGAAGTCCTGTCATTTGGAGTAACACAAGAGGAAAGCTCATCACGTTAAGTGAAGCAAGCCAGTCACAGACAAATGCCACGAGATGATGATAATTACAGGAGGGGTAGATGATAATTACCGTGCTTTCGTAGGGAAAAGGGTCCAGCCAAAGAAACGCACCTTGAGAAGAGCCAAAGAAACACGCTTTGACCGTGCAACCAGAACCAAAGAAATGTACCCTGACCCTGAAACCAGTGCCTAAGAAACACACTTTGTCCCTGGAATCAGAGCCAATGAAAGAAATACACCCTGGCCCTAGAACTAGAGCCAAAAGGCTAAAAAGGACCAGAGAAGGAAACACACTTTGGCCCTGAAAGCAGAGCCAAATCTGACCCCAATCCTGTGCAGAAAACCAATCCCTGAGCAGGAGACCTAGCCATCCTAAACTCAGGGATTGAAATCTGATCAATCCCTACCCTGGAAAACTCCGCCCCCTAAAGATCCCCATGTAAACCCTGTGTCTTGTTCACCTTATGGTTGTTTTGGCTGCCAGGGTCCCTGGCAGAGGATAGCCACTCTCCTGGATTCTTCCCTCCCAATACATCTCTTGAATGGGGTTTGGGTGAAGAAGACCTTCTTTCCCAGGAGCAGAGATGACCCAGAGCAGAGGGGAGCAGGGCTGTATCACTTTTCGCCCAGGTAAACTCCTGGCTAACTCCGCTCTCTGGGGGACTACAGCCAGACTGTAACAACTTCGAGGGAGAAACCCTCTCCTGCTGGAGCAGAACTGATACACTAGGGAAGCCTCTGCCTGAAGCAAGGCTGTAAGCTTCTATGCCCTTCTGTGACCTAGGGTATTCCTTGGCTCCTGATTGCCTTTCCATCCGAATTGTGACACACTCAGTATTCTGTGACTCCTGAGAGTCAGAATACCCTTCCATCCAAGCCGTAACACTCAGTATTCTTTGGCCCCCGAGTGCCATGATCCATCCCTGTCCATCCCATCGGATCTGTGGAAATGCCTACAGCTTTTGGTCAGACCTTCGATGTTCTTCAAAGGACCACGCGCTGAAGGCTTGGTCCCCAGCCCTTTGTGGTGTTGGTGGCACTCTTAGCAGGTAAAGCTGGTCTAAGAAAGTTGAGTCATTGTAGTTGTGCTATTGAATGGGATACTGGCATCCTGTCTCCTTCCTGTTGCTTGTTGATCCTGGGGGGGCCACCATGAAGTAAATGTTCTCAGCACAATATACTCAGCACAATATACTGAGCAGCCACAACTCAAAGCTTTAGAGCCAAGAGAGCCTGGACTCAAACTTCTGAAACCCTGAGCCCAAACAAACCATTTTGCTTTTATTCTTTGGTCCTGAGCCCGTGACAAAATATATCCTTTCCTTTATTAAGATATTTCCTTTTCAGCTATTGTCTTAATGATAGAGAGCTGCCTAACTCACAGAGGCTAGAGAAAGAGTAGTGTAGACAGAGGAGAGTAAGAAATGGTACAAATTTACTGACGGGAAAAAATAAGTTCTGATATTCCACTACATATGTTCTGTAGGGTGATCATAGCTAATAGAATTGTATATCTCAATTATAGCTAAAAAAGATGATGTTGATTTTCATCACCTCCAAGAAATTATCAACATCTGAGGTGAGGAATACATTCGTTATTCTAATTTGATCATTTATTATATGTACATGTATCAAAACATCACTCTACACCATAAATATATAATTACTATGTGTCAATTATAAATAAATTTTTCAAAAGACAGAAAAAAATTAATTCAATGTTAAATCACAGGGATCAACTGTGGAAGGAAGCAGCTTCACTGGTCCAGATATTTGTCAGTATTTAAATCGCAAATTAATAGTGGATGCATCCATTCACTCATTTCTTCACCAAGTGTTTATTTAATTTCTAGTGCATGGTTCATTAACCTCTCCTACAGACTTTCACTTCACCCCACACACCTTTAGAGTCTGAGCCACCTTCCCACCGCCATGAAATCTGGCCATACTTGGGCAATAGAATTTAATTCTGGGTTTGAGCTGAACTTCCCATAAGCTATATAGTGTTTTCTGGAAGTAAATGATTCATCATTAAGAGGTAAAGGAACTTTTCCAGAAGAGTGACTACTTACCAAATGCCATTAAGTTTCTCAAAGTGATTACAGCCCATTGATTAACATAATGATTGAACTGTGCTAACTCCTGCCTTTGGCAAGGCCAGTCTAAATAAAGTTTCTAGCATGCTTTGTAATCATTCCATGATTCTTCTCCTCACCCATCTCTATCTTCTCGCCTAAAGCAATTGCAGGTAATCTGGGAAGGTGTTTGGTTAAAGGAATCACCCACCATAAACAGGGCGCCTTTTATGGTAGTCAGACATTCTGGACTGATTTTGTCATGTGCAAATCCATGATTATCTCTTGATAGTGTCATGTTTCCCTTAAAGTATTTTATTTATTCTTATTTACTTGCTTGTATCTGCTCAATATCTGAATTCCATTGACACTTATTCCACAAGACCCTTATTTTATGTATTGTTCTTTTTATTTTTCCTAATTTCTTGTCAGTCTCATACATGCATGTAATAAATTTGGTCATTTTCAACATATCCATTCCACTCTCTCATTCCCTTCCCTCCCCTTCTGAAGCCCTCCTCCTTCTAGACAAGTCTTCTCTTCTGTGTTGTGTGTGTGTGTGAATTTAAATATAGTTGCCTGCATGAGCATGGGAGGGAGGTTATTTTACTAGAATGTGGGCAGTTTATCAGTAGACACGCCGCTGAAGAAAGCAACATTCTCTGTCCCCAGCGACCAAACTGCCAATGCTCCTTAGGAATTGGCTTTATGAGTACCTCTCTCTTCCATGATGAAATACTGATAAATTCAATCTTACACAAGTGTTAAGGAGGTGACCACAGCTGAAGTTCATGGGTACAACTACCATGTCATGTCAGGAAGTATTTTCCCAAGTGTATTCCACTGACTTAATATTCTAGTGCTATGAGGTACAAACAGGAGAAAATATAAGCCACATATTTAACTTTAATTTTCTAGTTTACTCAAAAATTTAGGAAAACACAAACAAATTTTAGTAATGGTTTTTTTTTTTACTAGACTTGGGATATCTAGTATTGCTGTTAAATCATTCAGTCAATATTTTAAAATTATTAAGGACATAATTTTACTAATGTGGGAACAATGGTATGGTTCAGTAGGGAAGAACACTTGCTTTACAAGCATTAGGACCAGAGTTCAAATCCCCAGCACCTACATAATAACTGGGCATGTCGAGCATAGCTGTAATCCCAGAGCTGTGTAGTGTCAATACAGGAGGATCAATGACACTTGCCAGCCTAGTTCCAGGTTTGCTGAGAGACTGTCTCAAGGGAATAAGGCAGAGAGTTACAGAGCACTTAATGTCCTCATCTGGCCCCCATACTTGTACACACAGGGGCATACTCATGCATATACATGCACACACATATTCATATAGTACACATTACACTCTCATTTTATATTTACAGTACCCCTTAATTTGGGTGAGTCATAGTTGAGAAGCCACCATACTGGACATCCTGGATCTAAATGCCATAAGAGGATATTAAATAAAATCAGTCATTTAGATAAGCCTCGTCTGATTGTTTAAATTTTTTATTAGTTTTTATTAATTTTTGACAGTTTTATGCTCATGATATTCATAGCCCATTATACTCTATTGTCCTCTGCGTGCGTGCGTGTGTGTGTGTGTGTGTGTGTGTGTGTGTGTGTGCTTGTCAGGTGGCCACAGTTGTTGTGTGTTCGTGACTGCAGCAGCGATTTTGTACCCAGAGGATCCTCCCTCCTCTACCTCTCATTCTTTCCCACCACTCCTTCACAATGTTTCCCTGGTCTCAAAAGGTAGATGTCTTATTTAAGGCTACACACTCAATATTCTTTATTCTCAAGACTTTGATAGTTACTGTGTTCTTATTTTGATCAACAACTACAAAAAGAAATTTCATGAATGAAGGATGAGTACAGCACCAGTCAGAAGACAATTTGCCTATATTTCCATTTAGTGAAACATCAAGAGTCCCCCATATATCCCATGACTTTCACATCCATAGGCCTTTGATCAGGTTTGCAGTACTAAGCATGTATTCTCTCCCAGGGAACAGGCCTGAGATCCGACCAAAAAGTAGTTGGTTACACCAGTCATACCACTAATGAATCTATGAGCATTTCTTGGTCAGCAGGTGTTGTATCATACAGGGTTTACATTTTAGTTAGATTGTTGATGACTTTTCTCCCCCAAAAGCTTGGGTAGTACCATCTGGCACTGTGAACATGAATCAATAGGTAGGAACTTCCAACTCAATTCCAGTATGATTTCTCTGCGTCCTCTATTGAATGTGTTGTCTTCAGCAGGAATGTCTTACCATCTATTTCTGGTGTACAACCAGGAACAATGGCAATAACTTGTACCATTTTGATAGCCTGAAACCCAGGCAATTGACTTATAGGGAAATATTTCATACCTGGTGCAGTCACTGAATAACCTATAACATATGGGGGGCAATATTCTAGTTGATTTATAAAGTAGTATGTTCCTATATGACTATTTCTTACATTCTTAGTTTTAGATGACTCTGTCCCCTCTCCTCACCTCCCTTTGTCCTCAGCTAAACCTTTCCATCCATAGTATACTTCCTCTCTATTTCTATGGCAACCCCGCCCTTCCATCCTCTTCCCTGCCCACCTCATGACTGCTTTGTTGGTTCCTAGAATAGACGCAGACATTTAAAACTTTGAATATAGAATCTACATATGAGAAAGAAAATATATTTGTTTTTCTGGCCTTAGGATACCTCACTCAGTGTAATATTACCAGTTTCTTCCATTTTCCTGCAAATTTTATAATTTCACATTCCTTCAGGATGGAAGAGAACTCCATTGTGTAGATGTGTCATATTTTCATCACCAATTAGTGAATACAGCATTAAATGATATTTAGTATTTAGAGGAACCACTTTTAACCACTTACTTTTATTTAAAATTTTCTAAATTAATGTACACAATATTAGATTTTATTATGGCACTTTTCAAAGAAAATTTTGTTAATTTTCCTCTCCTTTTCTTCTCTCCTACCCCACCTTCTCTTGTACCTTTTCACCCCTCATAGACACTTTCATGTTGCAGTGTGGATGCTGGAAGTCATCTAGTGGATCACCAAGCTTATTCCTTGAGATGGATAAAGAACTGAGCATCCAGGAAAGACAGAAGGTCAAGAGCCAGAAAAAAAAAAAGCAGCTTCTTTATCCCTTGGGATGGGAATGGCCCATGTGGAAGTCAGTTAAACAAATCTTGGCTTGGATGTTTTATAGAGTCGCTGGGCCCTCCCCTTTCCCTTATTGGTCCTGCTCAGACACCCATCTCCATACCTTCCTGTTCTTGTTCTTCAGAATGCCTTCTTGGAAAAAGAAACCTCTGTCAAAGGGAGACTTCTGCTTTCCTTGTTGTGATGATTGAACAAGATGTCCACAATAGTATAGGGCATTTGACTACTTAGTCCCCAGTTGGTGGCATTGTTTAGGTAGGATTAGCAGATGTGACCTCCCTGGGGACATGCTTTGAGGTTTCAAAAGCCATGCACCATTGCTGCTAACTTTCTCTGCATCCTGCTTGCAGCTCAATATGTGTGCTCTCGCCATTCCTGCCGGCTGCCGCATTTTCCCACTGTGATGGTGATGGACTCATCTCCCTGGAACCATAAGCCCAAATAAACCCTCCCTTTTATAAGTTGCCTTGCTACAGCCAAATCTACACAGAGAAACCCTGCCTTTAAAAAAAAGTAACTAATATATTTGTCTAGCCATGTCCCTTTAACTCTCCTTCAATGGCCCATGTGCCCTTTTACCCTACCCATTTCTCAACACCTCTTCTCCTCTATTACGGCTTCCTTTCCAGTTCCACATCCTATACTTAAACTCAACTGGTATTTATAAATACATGGACATTTTAAAACGTATAAATTGTAAGCTAGGATTTGTGCATGAGAGAAAACATAACTTTTGTCTGCCTTGCTACTAACATATAATTTGTCACCTTAATACTTTACATCTGTTTTTCCTAAAAATTTCATAATTCCACTTTTCTTTACAGTTGAGTAAAATTCTGTACATTTGCCACATTGAAATTGTGAGTGTTTACTGCAGTTTTACTACTGATCCACCTGTTGACGGGCAGCTAATCTGACTCCATTTTCTTGATATTGTACATAGTACATTTCTTGAACTGTGAGTAAACATGAATGTGAAGGTTTCTCTGTGATAGGATATGGAATCATTGGGTTATGTGCCCAGGAGTAATGAAGCAGCGTCATGAGATTCTAATTTTAATGTTTTTTTTATAAACATCCGTACTGATTGCTATACTACTTGTCCTACTTCACAGTCTCACCAGCAGTGAGAACAAGTCCCTTTCTCCCTACACCATTGCTCGAATTTGTTGTTGTCGTTTCTTAATAAAACCATTCTGACTAGGATAATATGGTATCTCAAAATAGTTTTAATTTGCATGTGCTTGATGATTGAGGACACTTTTAAAAATATTTATTGGCTTTTGTGTTTTTTGTCTTTGAGAACTGTCTGCTCATTTCAACAGCCCATTTATTGATTGGTATTTTTACTATTTTAGTGTTAAATTTTTGAAGTTCTTCATATATTATAGATACTAACCTTCAGTCTGATAACTGGTAAAAATTTTCTCTCATTCTGTATTCCATGTGTTCAGGATGCACTTCTTTTAAAAAGTGTTCTCATTTGTTATCCTCCAATCCATCCCCACCAACAAAATTGAAATGTATTTTTCCTCAGGCCAATATTCCCAAAAGCAACTTGGTGAGAAAGTTTATTTCATCTTATAATCCATCATAAAGGAAGTCAGGACAGGAACTGAAGAAACCATGGAGAGATTCTGCTTGTGCCTTGCTCCTGGTGGTTTGCTCAGCTTGGTTTTTTTATATAACGAAGGACTACCGGCTCAGAGGTGGTACTTGCTCAGTGCTATACTCTAGACAGTCATTAAGAAAATGCCCATGAACTTGTGAACAGGCCAATATGATGGAGACCTTTCTCAGTTGAGATTCTGTCTTCCCAAATAACTCTAGTTTGTGTCAAGTTGACCAAAAACTACCCACCCAGCACAATGATCAAGTTAGCATCCATTTTTCATTCTTCCTTAGCTAACATCTTCATTCCATGAATGAGAAAAAAATGGTACCAAGGCAGGTTGAGAATTGCCCCAAGGTCACACAATGGGTAAGAGCAGTGACCTACATTCTGTCTTACAATGCCCAGGTTAAAGTTTGTCCCACTACCCTAAATAACCAACCCTTCCTTTCTCATTTCCCCCCCATAGAAACAATCACCTCCTTCTTAGATATGGTCAGAATTAAGGTCAGCAATTGAATATAGGAAATGCTCGGTGGAAGCTCAGACTGAGTCACTTTTCTTTTTATTTCTTTAGACAAAAGACAAATTCACCCCCCACCGCCACCACCATCACACACCCAGGAAGGTTATTTGCTACCAAATATTCCTCTGCTACATTCATCTACATTGGTAATCTCCCAGGTGCCACAAGCTGTTTGTTAGTGATATTTGTGGGTTTGTATTTTTTCTGTTACAAATATATGTATTTTTTTTTTGTGCAAGCAAATGTTGCCTGATCTGCAAATATTGCCTTTTATAAAGAGACAGGCCTATCATCCAGTCAGGCTAGTTCTCTCAGATCTAAAATAGAATCCTCTGAAAAAAAAACCATTTAAGGGAATTATTAAAATGTTTTCTAATGGTAGAAATTTAGAGACAAGAAAATTTTGCACCCTGCCTCCAATACTGTAAAACTACTCTCGAGTATAAAATGGCCTGACAGAGTTCTTTCTAGGTTGAGTAGCCAGAGAGTTTCACTTACATTCCTATCTGATATCTTGTACACGTCTAAGGGTAACTATTGACCTTCTTTTCCCAATAGCAAAAAGTAAAAGGGAATGGTAACTGGGATGACCTAATTTAGATTTTAATATCACATGACAAAATATACTGAGGAGCTCATTTCACTCATTCTTAGAGGTATGCATATGTACCTCTAATGTATATAATTTCTTTTGATTATACAATATGGGCTTACATGAGATGGGCTGTGTAGTCCAACAGGTGCTGTCCACTCACAGGAAAGGCTAAGAAACCATTAGCTGCTTAGTTAAATGAAATTAGATGCCTCGGGAGTCCCAGTCTGGCAATGGAGGGTTATTGTAGAATCACTGGTCTTTACCCTAGATGGGAAGGCTAAAGAAGCTAGGTTCTGACCTCAGAAAGAAAAGAGGCAGCCTCAACAGTCTTAGAGGCAGCAGAGCAAACACTCTCACCAGCAAGGAATGAAGGCAGACAAGTGGAAAAGCAGGGCTGTTCCCTCACACCTGTTTATGGTGGAAACGCAGAGGTGCCAGCTACTCTGAAAGAGGGGCTTCCCACTTCCGTTAGCCTTCCAGGAAATCTTCTCACGGATCTCTTCTTAGTTGGGATTCCAAATGGAATTAAGTCGGCGAACAAGACTGGTCAGCGACCTTTCAGTCATCATTTTCAATAAATTAAAAATCCAGATTTCTGAAGATGGCTCCAGGGTCAGATGCAGTTGGTGCTCTTGCAGAGAACCCACGTTCAGTTCTCAGAACCCTTGTTGAGCAGTTCACAACTGCCTTTAGCTCTGGGACACCAACACTCTGAAGGCACCCGCATGCACAAACACTCCCCCAACACATACACACAAACACACACATAAGTACATGATTTAAGACAAAATAAGTCTTTAAATAAAAAAGTGACATCCCCATACATCTCACTAATCTGTTCTACAACTTTATACTTTAGCTTTCAATATACACTGAATAAAACATTTCAGCAAAATCAAATTTTGTAACATTAGAGTTTCCAATAAAAAGAAAAAGGGGAGAAAATGCCTTTGTAATTGGAGTTTAAAAATTAAATTTATGGGTTTTTGTGTGTTTTGGTATACAAGCTAGATTTTTCTTGAGTGGGGATATAAACCATTGGATATAAACAGTTAGAAAGATTGAAAAACTTAGACAAAAACACTCACACCAAAATGGGACCCTTGCTTGAGGTTTTCAGTAAACTGATATTCATAGCTAGAACCTTTATTCTTTCTGAATCTGGGGAGATGAAAGACGAAGGATTTCCTAGTAAAGTCAAGAACTATGTGTTGTTGAGAAGAAACTCTGGAAATCCCTCGGCCTAGTCCCCTGACTGCCATTAGTGAGTACAGTGAATACCTTTATTTCAGCATGGAGTACTTACATACAATAGTATCTTCTCATTTGTTCATGGGAAGAACCCCAAAATTCCATGTTTTCTTATAGTCCCTTACAAATGATACTTCAAGTATGCCTGCCTTGGAAACCACAGCTTTTACAAGTAGAAAATATGATTTTCTCATATATATCACTACACACGCACACACACACACACACACACACACACACACACACACACACTGTATCATACTCAACTTTAACCAAATGGTTGCTAAATGAAACTTTGCATTTATTTATTTGTTTGTGCACGTTCATGTATGTGCGTTGGACCACTCATGCCATTGTTCACGTGGTCAGAGGACAACCTACAAGAGTTACCTACAAGAGTTACCTCCTTCCACATATGTGCCAAGAGTCAAACACAGGTCCTCAGGGCTGGGCAACCAGTGCCTCCACCTAGTCATCTCAGTGGCCCTGTTTCAGCGATTGGTAACCTGATACATCCTAGCAGAAAGGAGGAGTTAAAGGAGAAGGTGAACTAAACTGTAAAATTCAAAGCTAGTTGTCCTATTTTTCAATAGTAAGATGAAGTCATTATCAATTCATATCAGTCATGCAGCCTCTGCTCCAGGGAACCCAGCTGCTGCTGTCATTTGTGTTGTTACTTACCTCAAGGGGTTTTCACTGCTTCATGTTTGGTTCGGCGTAGATAAGGCATTTAAGCAACTATTTTTTGTTTTGTTCGCAACCCGCTGTGCTAAAATAATGTGATCACTGAGTGTACCTTATGTTCTTTAAAAGATGGTTTTAAATAAATGTGTTCTGAGAAATAAGCCTTCTTTGAATGTTTTTTGAGCAATTACCACAATCAGAACTAATTTTGAAAGTAGCCAATTAGACAGCATTTGAATGTGAGAAGTAACCTTTCCAAAGACTGCTAAACACAGGACACACTGACTCTTCTTGATTTCACAAGGCAAGTGGTGTGTGTGTGTGTGTGTGTGTGTGTGTGTGTGTGTTTATTTTTTAAATGCCCATGACATAATTCTGAGTGAAAACATCCTGTAAATTTCATTTTATATGTAAAAGGAAGAAAAGAGAGCAATCTGGAACAAAAGTTGCTTACAATTTACTCCAGATGGAAGAAATGAACGTTCAGTTTTATGTTACAGACTCCTGTATTTCAATAAATGCACAACTTAAAAAAATTTAAGCCAGCAACCATTAAGAATAGTTTTGCTGAATCCTTTAATCAAATGAATTAACCACATGTTGTTTTACAAGTGAACAATTAAAAATGATGGGCCATGTTAAGCATTGCTTATGGATATATGCTTACTGGGTGCAGCCTGAATCTTTGAAAAGCTAGTTACTTGTTGATTCTTTCTGAGAAAGGGTCTTGCTATGTAATACAGGCTTATAATTTTCTCTTTAGCTTTTGAAACAGAGAGTCACTCTATCACCCTTT